TTTGATTTGTGGATGTTTATTATTGGTTTATCGTTCTTTTCAATTCTTTGATCACCAATTGAATTGTTAGTGAATTTTATTGTTATCGAGAGAGACAATAGGGTTTAAGCACAATATAATAAACATTGTAAGGCTCGATAGAGGATAGAGATATACATCTATGCTTTATATGGTTTCAATATGTGTTCTAGTACTTGTTAATGCATTTATCATTTTTGCATCTTTCATCGAGAGATAGAAGGGTCACATGAGGGGAATAGATTTGATCGCTATCGAGAGAGGCTTTCAATTAAATTAGGAACATTGACCAACATAAATGATTTCAAATTGTCACTTTAATTGTTACACTAAAAATGGAATAACAAGGGGGATTCGACATCTTAGCAATGCATCTCACATAGTTGTAAAACACATTTACTTACTTTNCAATATATTAGCAATGCATCTCACACATTGGAAAAACACATTGACTTATTTTCATTAGTTTAATTGATAATTTAGGGATTAATATAAAAAATCATAAAAGTTGTTTGCTATTCGATTAAAGTTGAAATTAATTTTAATTCAATCAAACACGTAGTCCTCGTGGGTTCGACACTCTATTTACTACTTTATTACTTGATAACGATCCCGTTCACTTGCGGGAAATCAAACGATCAATTGCCGTTGATGGCTAAATAAGGCGCCAAGCCACTTGGCTTGGCGTTTCCGCCACGCATCGCGCCTAGGCAATGCATTGGCGTTGACTAGGTGCGCCTTTTAGAACAATGGCCGAAACTATGTTTGAGGATGTTTCGCGTGAAAGGTCATGGTGCAGTGCTAGAATTGGTCACTATGAAGGAGAAACCAAATTTTGATTTGGAGATGGAAAATATGTGTCATGCCCTACAGGTTAGCTTTTCAGTTTTTGTTATTCTTTTTCAACATCTTTTTACCATCTCTTGCTTACTATAATCCATCTTCCCCCAACCAGATAGTTCTAGAAGTAGGAGACCTAAACCTTGAATATTGTCATGTTCCATGATGTTAAAGAAAGACAAACACGAGAAAGTAAAACCATTGTAATAGGATTTCTCTAAATATCATGTGGAGCTGATGATTAGGGCGTTAAGGAGTTGTCAATGTTTGGAGCCAAAAAAATCTTGGATGTATCTCTTTGTAAATTATTTTGTATAATAATCAAATTTAATTGGTTCTATGTGATAGAATTTAATTAGTAATTGCCCTTGCCAAAATTCTTTTTCTAAACAATGTAAATGTGATATGATAATGGTTATCGATGCTCGATATACGTGCATATTCTACCTTCAATTATGAGAAAATTTATTTATTTCTTTCTTCGGTCGGGGTGGGGTGGGGGTGAGAGTCTCTTTTAGTGTGGGAAGAATGAGAAACTTGGTTATAATAAATAATAGAGGGGTTACAGCAACATGGGCTTAATCATTAACTAACTTACAGGACTTCCAAGTTATTTTAAAGCCGACAACCCAAAACTTATATATATTGGTATGAATTCTACCAATTTTCGAACAATTTGGGATGTTACGATAGCTTTCATAGTACGAAGCATAAGAAACGTGACTATTTACATCATTGTCCCAAAAAGGGGATGGAATTGAACTGTTTGATATCTGCTCCAAAAGGATACAGAACTCCAATTCGCTGGCTAAAAGCCGCGGTGAGGTATCTTTTTTTATATCAATGATTTAAGAAGAATATATATTTTACAACTTTTGTAATTTTTGTTTAATTATGCAAATTATAGGAATCAATTGATGAAAGATGATATTAAGGTGTATGCTAATGGGAGCTGCACGTTAGCACTTGACTTTATGACTTTTTCGGCACAAGAGGTCTTATCACTTTACTGCAAGGTCCTCTCTCTTTGCTATTTTAGCCAGTCTTGATTTAATTTTGAAGAAGCCGAGCAATGATCTGTACCCTATTGCCAGTCGGTGGTAAGAAAGTGTTTCCTTGAAGCTCGCAGCCATGTAATTTATTCCATTGTAATTTTGACTTTTTGTTATTTATTAATTATTTTAGGATGTAGGACGAGCTTATTAGGAGAAAGTTATGAACTGATAATTTGACCTCTCGAGCGAAGCAAGTATTGCTAAAGCCAATCTAGGTCCATTTTACAATTTGGTAGTTTGAGAGTTGATTAAATTTAGGAACTTAAGTCATAAATCATCACTGTGTGCCTGTTGAAAGAGCTTATGAGTTTA